GCTCACCAGATGCCAGGCTGTTTTCTTCCTCCTTGGAATTTCTGCTTTGAGATCTTGTCAAGTGCCCCTACGACACACAGGAAGGTGAGTGGTGGAGATGGGTGCCGCTTACTGGCAGTCAACTATAGGGTAGGAAAGGGACTTGTTCTTGGTCACCTCAGGCTCAACGACTCTTGGATCGTCTCTGCTCTTTCGTGTCCCCGAACCTCTGGGTCCCGAAGTGAGGTTGCTCTGTAGAGCAGCTGTCTGAACACAGAGCACGAGGGGTCGGCTGTGTGCCCACTGTTCTGCAGTGGGAGAGCCCGGCAAAGTAGAAAATGGGGTCATGGACTATTCCTAAATTGGTTTTCTGCTCTCCACTGTAGCCTGTGGGGGAGATGTTAGAGGCCGCTGTTGGATGGAAATGCAGCATGAGCTGTTTGGAAGGTTATAGCATCCAGAAGCAAGTCTGCCAGTTGTTCCAAACCTCTGCCTCTGTCTCCCCTGTCACTGTCCAGAAAGCAGGTGATGTCACTTTGCACTAAAGTGTTGCAAGCCTCCCCCACTTCTAGGAAGATGGTGTCTCCTTTTCAGGCATGCTACGCTGGGTTACACGAGCTAGATCCAGCTGGGTCACATAATTCCAGGGCTTGACCGCTTAACCTAATCTTTTCTAAGAGCCAGCTCTGTGTGTGTGTGTGTGTGTGTGTGTGTGTGTGTGTGTGTGTAGATACATGGGAATCCAGGTAAATCCTGTCTGTGTGGACAACTGCTTGCCTGATTCCAAAGAGCAATTCCCACATTTAAAGTAATGCAACTGAAAAACCTCTCCTCTATATTTCTTAGTCCTTTGCAGGAGCCTGTGACCATTTTTGGATCAGAAGACATATGGCTGCCGAGAGAGAGAAAGCAGAAAGCCTTCTTTAAGAGTTGAGTTAAAAAAGAAAAAAAAAAAAAGTCGAGAGTTCAAAGTAGCAACAGATTGTAACATTGTTCTCTGAGTAATACTTTTTTTTCCAAATCTAGTCTCCGTCCACCCCAACATGTTTCCTGTTCCCTTGAGTCCACCACCATGGGTCAGACCCTCCATCTGCACTGTG